ATCACTGTAGCTGGATCACAGACAAACTCTATTCAGCTAGTATAACCTTCAATTGAGCAAGTAGGATTATTAATTTCAAATAATATTTTTTTCATATTTAAAATTTGAGTTTCCCACTTATGCATGAAAATTAAACATGGATTATGGCTAATCAAGGACAAGATGGAGGCCTAAGATTTAAGGGCTATTGCTGTGAGTTAACAGCAATGGGAAAGTATGCCTTCTCTGATACAACGAGGACAAATTACGAGAACCAGCTGAAGATTGGCAAATGTTCTCAGCAGTCAATAGCTTTACTGTCTTGGCCTCAGAAGAGAGGAGAAAAAAAAAGCCTTCCTAGAACTAACTTTGAAAAAAATATACTGTTTGCTTAACATTCCAGTAAACATCACATTATTCTTTTGGACACTACCCCATTTTCCACAAAATATTAATTTACAGGTACTATTATTATTGTAGTTCATGCTCAATTCAATATCATATTATTCACCAGCAAACACAGGATATTTCAAAGTATTTTGAACACTACAATTGTAAAAATGAGATCAAAATACTCTTGACACAATGGAAGTTTGATCTGAGTGACAGAATCACAGAACAGTTGAGGTTAGAAGGGACCTTTAAAGATCATCTATTCCAACCCCCCCGCTCAAAGCAGGGTCAACTACAGCTCGCAGCACAGCCGTCTGGTGTATGAGCAACTCTTTCTAGTTTTGTATCATCTGCAAACTTGCTGAGGCTGCACTCTGCCCCATCATCCAGTGATGAATAAGTTGAACAGGGTTGGATCCAGTGTCAATCCCTGGGGTACACCGCTAGTAACTGGCCTCCAATTAGAGGCCTCCTCTGTGCCACTGACCACCACCCTCTGAGCTCTGCCATTCAGCTAAAGTGAAAAACAGGAGATTCCATTTAAACAGAAGGAAAAGCTTTTTTACTGTACGGGTGATTGAACACTGGAGTAGGCTGCCCAGAGAGGTTGTGGACTCTCCACCCTTGGAGATATTCAAAGCTGTCTGGACAGCGTCCTGGGTAACCTGCTCTCATTGATCCTGCTTGAGCAAGGGGGTTGGAATAGATGATCTTTAAAGGTCCCTTCCAACCTCATCCATTCTGTGATTCTGTGATTCTGCTCAATAATTGAAGAGAGTGAACAATATAGGTTACTATTTCTCTAGTCTCCACACCAAAGGTTCAGCAATCTCAGTTCATATTAGAACTTTTCTATCATGTTTCTGCAAAATTTATATTTTAATTTACTAAGAACATGGTTTGGCTAATCAGTCTGAAGACAATAACATAATATCTTGCTTTTCCTTAATATCAAGGAAGGGGAGCTACAATGCAGATCCAAATCCAACTCCCCGTCCACAGCTCTTGACTAATAATTCCATTTGGGGCGCAATAGCTCCTTCAGTTGTTCCTATATTAAATGCTTGGCACCATGGTCCATTCAATCCTTTAAACTTTCATCCTTTGTTCCCTTTTTATTCCATCATAGCTTTGTGTCTCAACTTCCCATAGTTCCAACACAAGAACATTTCAACAGTTCTAATCAAAATACCTTTCCAATTATTAGAAATTGGAACTAATTTCTAATATAAAAGTATTCTCCCTATAAGCCACTTTGAATTATAAATCCCTACTATAAGTTGTTAACTTTTTCTAGAAATATGAAAGAAATGAGTGAGAAAGTAAAAAAAGGGAGGAGGAAGGGAGGAACGAGCAAGATACTATTGCCAGAAAGAGTTTTTATTTGTGTTAGGCATATACAGAGATACATAGATACGCCATTACCAGGGACACAATTTAAATAAGACAGCTAATTGGGAAACAGAAACTTCACGGAATAGACAGCAAATAGTTCCATGATCACTGGGAATAATAGAGTATGAGCTGCAATGAATTTATATCTCATGCTAGATTTACTTTTTAACTGAATTACTCTAAAGTCTTTGCATGAGTGCAACTCTTTTCAAAGAACAGAGAATCTATACGAGATAGAAATACTGCCTATGATTTAGATTCTTGGCTTTTTTCAATGAGGTGCAAATTCTGACTAAATCTTGGTTAATAAAAGTTGAGAAACCTGGTTAACAAATATTTCTCAAACTAGTATGTTTGCAATGAAAAGTTTTGGATTTGATGAGTTGGCATTTTCAAAAACATAAAGGAAAACTATTCATGAGCTCTACCTATTGAATAGAATGTGAAACAGTCATCTAGTATTTCAACCAAAGTACGTAGTTTCATTTTTCCAAAATATCCAAGTGGCTCTTAACATAATATTTTGCACTCTTTCTTGAAGGAACAAAACTTGTATCAGAAATCAAGTGGAAGAAAGCAAGATAACGGGAGATTTATACACTTTGCCATAAACAGCTCTTTTGATTTTCTGAAAATGCTACAGATTATAAGCATATCAACTGATAGCTTATGAGATTGCCACTTATAAGGGAATCTCTTTCTTGATTTTGGTCTTTTGAACCTCAGCAATGGGATTTAGGACTCCTCAAGCTGATGAACATATGCTTATATTACATACTAAATCTGAGGAGGTAAGTAGCTTACAGGTAATACATTTACTAAATGATACTCATTTTAATTGAATAAAATTAACTCCTCCAAACATAACTAAAGATTCTCTTTTATTGCCTCTGAGGCAGTTGTATAAAAGTCACTGCAGTTTTAGTATCATTAGGCTTGTAACACTTGAAGTAAAGAATTTTTTTCTGATAGCTGAATTCTCCAGGAAAAATAACAGCTTTAAAAATGTTGAGAGTCTTCCTGAAGTGCCAAAACCCAAGTATGTTCCTATTAGCCTTAAAACTTAAGAATAACGTGTTGTTATCTGTAAGGCCAGTAACACGTTATCCTTACTCTGAATCTTTGAAGCTTAAATCAAAAGTGAAGTAGTTTATTGAAGAGACAAAATGGAAGAGGTTGGAGGAAATACTTCAACTAAACTGATTCTGAGAGTCCTCAACCAGTAACTCTCCAATAAAAGAATGCACGGAGAGGACAGCAGTCCTACAATTACCGTGAAAACTTCTCTAATACCTAAAAATATCCTGGTGTAAAGAACAGTATTTGGTCACTTTTCTTAGTAGCTGAGGCCAACTGCACTTACTTAATATCAGTTTTCAGAGAATTCATATACGATAAATTCCTTTCCCATGTTTCTTTCCTGAACACAGTCAAAGAAATTAGCAG